GGGGGCAGGGCTCACAGCGTTGCTGATAGATGTGGCGGGATCAGCGGGTTGCGACCTGCACACACAACCCCCCTACCCGGAACGTGGCGCCGAGGAGTCCCCCTTCCGCCTAGCCAATTACAGTACGTTAGGCTGTGTCTCACCCACCCCTCGTGCCTTTTTGACCCTGCTGAGTCCCTCCCCTTCCTTTCCATTTCAATTTATTGCTTTTTATTGTTTCCCTCCGGTCTCCTCTTCTCCCTTCCTAGGCCTTTCTCAAGCTCAATTTGGAGCTGACAGCCTTCCCCAACCTTTTCACCTCCCTTCTCCCCGCCCCGGGCTAATCCCGGAGACCGGTTCTAAGTGGAACCTACTGCTGGGCAGGGGTGGGAAACAGCGGGTCTGAGAGCCAGAACCTGCGAGAGGCGCCGTGGGCGTCAGGGTGTTGTGTAGGAGATTCCATGGCCTTCGATTTCAGACCTCCAGGCGCTGCCTGCCAGACCTGCCCATTTAACCTGCTGGGAGATAACAGTTCCTTCCGGTGGTGGGTGGGTGGGTGACTCAAACTCCAAAGCATTGATTTCTGGGTCACACACTGTGACTCCTCTTGCCTTGTGTTGGAGTCCTTTGTAACCTCAAATTTCAGCTGGGGAAGCCTCGTCCAGAAGCAGAGGTGAGGGTTTAAAGTGGGGCCCCCAGGCTTCCCCAACCCTTGGGATGTAACGATGATTGCTTCAGAACTCAGGTGCACTGAGCTGAGAGAGCCCCGGTTTTAAAACCATGCAACTTGGGGAATTTCACACACTCCAGAGGCACGTGGGCAGCTCCCCCCCTCTATTGGCACCTCTTGCTGACTGTCCTATGGGGGAGATAACAGAGGTAGATAATCTCCTGGCAGCCTCAGCCCCCAGGGGATGGAGGGTTGGCCTTCTCTAAGCGCTGTAGAGGTTTCCCACGTGGTGCTTGATTTATCTTTTTGATGTGGTTTTTGTCTCTTGTTCTTAGCAGTGAGTACAGGAAAAGCTTCCGCCTCCCCAGTAGCATGAAAGATCTGTTCCAGGAAACCCCTCCTGTGCTTCCTCTGCTCCCCACCCACCTCTCAGGGGGCAGCACCCGACAGTTAAGCTATTGCCACAGGAAGTAGGCAGTTCTGTAGAGTCACATCTCAGGAAAATTACATTTAAAATGTGAGTGCGTATGCCTGTGTGTTTTTTAATGAAGGTAGCACATATACACGTAGAAGTTTGAACAGCTCAAAGGCTGTACAGTGAAAACTGTAGAACCCAATTCCATTCTCCAGAGACAGTCACCAACTGTTCTGTATTCATATTAGATCATTTTCCACAAGTAATCTTTTTTAAAAACTTTATTCACTATTATTATTTTTTAATTTGACCAGAGACAGAGAGCGAGTGAGCTGGGACGTGAGAACGCAAGCCGCCAGGTCCAGGACCCAAACTGGTCAGCTATGTGGGAATCTAGCACCCTAACCACCATGCGCCACCTGTCAGTTCCACCACAAGTATCTTTTTAAAAATAGATAGATTCGGGGGACCAGCAGGTGTTGTAATGGTTATATCACTGGACTCCCATGTTGTTGACTGGGGTTTGAGTCCCAGACCCAGCAGCTTAAAACTCACACTGGGTGTGTGTGTGTGTGTGTGTGTGTGTGTGTGTGCGCGCCCCAAATCCCAAGAGGAAAATGAAGAAGGGATTGCGGCGTGGCCATCCTCCCTGGGAGCTGATGTCTTGCTTTTTGTCCGTCTCTCCGGCCAGCACACATACCCTATACCAAAAGAATCTCTCTTTAAAAAAAAGATTTTGTATCTTCCCTGTTCCTGCCTCTTTCCCGCCACCACGTCTTGGAGACTAGTCCTATCCGCACGTGCAGTCCTTCCCACTAGTTGGCCAGTCCCCTGCCGTTGGCCATTCCTTGTTACCCGTTTCACTGTTGGAGGCAGTGCCATAGGGAATAGTCCATTTGCTCTTGTGTGGGCACTTTCTGTCTTAGGAAAATCGTGAGCAGTGTCAAAAGTTACATGCATTTTGCGGCTGCCAGGTGCATGGTAATTAAGGGCACTGGACTCCCACAAGGCTGATCGCGGTTCAGGTCCCAGACCTGGCAGTTTGCTTTCTCACTTTCCCTCTCTCACTCTATTCCTCTCTGGTCAAATAAAGCTACATGCATTTTAAATGTCATGAGGAATTGCTCGATTCGTATCTTTATAATGGTGGCAAACTTCAAATTGTTGCCAGAGAAAAATTTTCTTTCTTTCTATAGTCCTGTCTAGATACAAGTTCACACATTCGAGTGGCATCTCAGATCTTGGGGGAGCCAATGCCTTTTACACTAACCCTAATTCTCCATCCCCCAGAACCCCACTGAAAGGAGCTAGTGGTGATTAAATCGTATGGTGTGTGCTTATTTATATATAGTCTTCAAGGACCGTCTCTGTTCCCCTGGCAGTGCGGCGGTGATTGAAAGCAGACTCACTCTAAAGCGGCCGGAAAACTTGCCACTGCTCTTGCAAATCAAATGAGGCACCAGGGAAGAATGCTCTGTCTCCCCACACCTCCGACGGGAGTGGGTGAAAGACAGAGACCATCTAATCTGGAGGAAACCTCCTGACCCCGGCTGGAAGAGGCAGGGCCCTGTTTATCTGTCCCTCAACCACACTGAGACTCTTTGTCTGCCTGCCTTATTTTGTCAACAGGCAGGCAGGATCTCGTCCACACCCACACCTCTTGTCTGTCCTCCTGACAGCCAACTCTTAAGTGATCTGTTGGAGCCAAGACATGGGGTAACCTGAAGGCTTCTCTTCCCGGAGCCTCATCCTGAAGTTGGAGAGGGCCTGGGCCTCTGTAACCACAAATTCCCATCCAAAATTGCTCAGGTTGTCTCCTGGAACCCAAAACATGGAGACCTAAGCACTGGGAGCTGTAGGTTAGTGTAAATCTGTGGCATTCTCTCTGCCTCCTAGAAGGGAAGAGGGCCAGGAGCTATAGGGGGACAGTGGGGGGGGGGGCGAAGCCACCAAAACCCCGACCAA